TTGTTTAGATATTTTTTAGGTGACATTGTTCATTTTAAGGGGAAAAAGGAGGCAGTATAGAGAAACAATATGAAAAAATAAAGTTACTCATGATCCTAACATGCAGAGAGAGAGACACTAATAGCGTTTTGGTATATGCCTTTGCAAATGCTCCTTATTTTGTAAAGAAAGTTGGACTGTACTTGCATATTTTACAAATCCCTCTTCTTTGTGAATGTGAATAGCCTTCCATCTTGCAAACATAGGATTGTATTATTTTTAATTACTCAATGTACTGTCATACAGGTTTATGTCATTATTATTGGGCATCTGTCTTAGTTCTAGTGTTTTGATAAGCATTCTGCTATTTAATTTTATTTTATTAACATATTTGTAAATACCTGTGGATTGTCAAGCTGTCGCAAGAAATAGTACAAAGAGGGTTCTCATAGCCTTCAACCATTTCCCTAATTGCATAACTAAAGTACAGTATCATGTGAAGAAATTTATATTGGTGTAATCTATCAGCCTTCTTCAAATTTCTCCTGTTTTACATATCTATTGTTATTATTCCAATTTCTCCAGTTTTATATGCATTCATTTGTGTGTATGTGTGTATTTAATTATATGCACTTCTATCCCACATGTAGATTTGTGGAACTACCACCACCCCATCAAGATGCAGAACTGTTTAATTGTCACAATGATCTCTGGTACTCTCTTTTTATAATTACATCCACTCTTAGGCTGTTTCATTTTTACCCAGAGTTTTGTTTTGTGTTGTATCATTTTGGGACATGTGCCACACTGACCTACTTTTTCTCCTGCCATTCTTCTTTGGCTTCTCTTGTTTTAAATGCAGACTGGATTTAGAGTGAGTAAATATTGCCTGATTCTTCCAATATAAATATTTCTCATGATGTGATTTTATTTTATTTACAGTGGAATTTTCCCATGTTGAATATTGGTAATCAATCACATGGTAGGCACTCAAAAAGTGTTTGAAAAATGAAAGGATGAATTAATTAAAATGTATAAATATTCACTGATGATCTACTATATGCTAGGTACTGTTTGAGCTTGCATTTTAGTAAAATGAGTGAAGGAAATGAATGAACAAATAAATAAGCAAATAAATGAACAGACAGTTAGATAAAGTAGTCTCTTATGTAACCAAAGAGGTTTGGAATCCTGCTTAGAAAGTCATTTCCAAAGGAGGGACCCTCTTGGTTATTTGGGGCAAGGAGGGATATGAAAAGTGTGGTACACTTTCCTGTAATCTGGGAACACTTTTTGGAACTGAGGCCAGCTTGATTCAAAAGGAGAGCCTTGAATGTATAGTCATCCCTTGGTATCTGTGGGTGATTGGTTCTAGGACCTCCTTCAGATGCCAAAATCTGCAGATGCTGAAGTTCCTGATATAAAATGGCATAGTATTTGCATATAACCTATGCACATCCTCCTGTATATTTAAAATCATCTCCTCCTTACTTATACCTAATACAGCGTAGATGCTATGAAAAACAGTTGTTATACTTGTATTGCTTAGGAAATAATAGCAAGAGAAAAAACTCTGTACAAGTTCAGTGCAGATGCATTTTTTCCCCCAAAATATTTCTGATCTGTTGTTGGCTGAATCCACAAATATGGAACCTATGTATACAGAAGGCCAACTGTATTTCATGTAGGATTATTTCCCTCAACATTCCTGGCTTAGTTCATTTAGTGTTGCTATAAAGGAATATTGAAACAGTAATTTATTTTAATAAATTGTTTGGCTCATGGTTCTGCAGGCTGTACAAGAAGCCTGATGCCAGCATCTGCTTCTGGTGAGGGCCTCAGGCTCCCTCCACTCGTGGCAGAGGGAAAAGAAAGCTGTATGTGGAGAGATCTCATGGGGAGAGAAGAAGCAAGATGGAGATGAGGGAAGGAACCGTGCTCTTTTTAACAATCAGCTCTTTCCAGGAAACTAGCAGAGTGAGAAACCATTCACCCCCAAGGGAGGGCATTAATCTATTCAAGGAATTCACCCCACAATCCAAGTTCTCCCATTAGGCCCCACCTGGAATCAAATTTCAACAGGAGTTTGGGAGGGGACAAATATTCAAACCACAGCCTTTTTTTTTTTTTTTTTTTTTTTGAGACGGAGTTTCGCTCTTGTTACCCAGGCTGGAGTGCAGTGGCACGATCTCGGCTCACCACAACCTCCGCCTCCTGGGTTCAGGCAATTCTCCTGCCTCAGCCTCCTGTGTAGCTGGGATTACAGGCACACGCCACCGTGCCCAGATAATTTTTTGTATTTTTAGTAGCGACAGGGTTTCACCATGTTGACCAGGATGGTCTCGATCTCTTGACCTCGTGATCCACCCGCCTTGGCCTCCCAAAGTGCTGGGATTACAGGCATGAGCCACCACGCCTGGCCCAAGATTATTCTTTTACTTAAAATATATCCAAAACTTCTTGATAAAACATTTCATAATGATTCAATTTTGTTACATTTACTCCTATTTAAAATGAATTTTATTAAAAGAATATTAAGAACATTATTTTATGTTTGATTTTATTAATGCCAGTTAATAAGCTTACATTCCAGTAACCAAAGCCTAATTATTTAACTTATGGAAGGTGGAGTTGAAATCTGTGGCTTAAAGAAACTGCGGGCCATGAGATATAATACTTAAAACTCTGCACGCATTTGCTTGGATGATTTAAACTACCATAGTAGTTTAATAGGCAGACAGGCATCTTGATTGATATTTTTCACTTAGTGTAAAATGCTAAGTTGAATTAGGGCTTTGATAGCTTCTTAATAGTCCCATATTTTGAAAGGTTTATTTTAGACTTTGTGGCAATTTCCTATGCTTATACAAAAATTTTAAGCAGACCTCTCTGTTTTTAACTCATCTGATGATATAGTGCAGTTAATCTTAATTTACTGGGTATTGTTGGGTTTTAGACATCTTCTCCAGATAGCCTCACAAGTCTTTATATACACTGGATTATTTTAGGACATTTACAGTGAGGTAAGGCAGCAGCTAATTCGAGGGCATTATCCTGTTGGCCTCTTTGATCTAAGATCCTTTCTGAGAGAGCCACTCATTAGGTAAGTACCCTTCAAAGAAGAGCAAGGGTGCAGAAATGATAAAATCAATTTATTTTTACTTCATGCCAACATGAAAAAAGACAAATCACATTTCTTTAGAAAGGAATCCTAAGTGCCTAGCAATTTGGACAGGATAAATGGAGTCTGGGAGAAGAGTTTTGAAGCCAATTGTTACTTAAAATGGATAAACTCAATAAACCAGAGGGTTGTGCTAGCTTACAGAGATATTATGGGGATTGACTGAAATTATACATTCATGAGAAAGTGATTTTTAGCCCACAAAAGGCTATACATATAGCCAATGGATGTGTTAGCTACATCCATTACAGTTAGCATACAGTAATCCTGGCCTCAATTTACAATTTGGCCTTCTACATTCAAGAATTTCCTTTTTATTTTTTTTTTTCCTACAACACTATTCTTTCTCTAACCAGTAGTTTGTTTAGAAAAACTTTGATGTGTCCAATTTAAAAAATATTAAATACTATAGTAATGTGTCCTAGGAAATATCCTGTTTGTCATCCGTTTCTGTTTACTACCTGCCCGTTTCTAACAGGTATTTAAATTGTCTAGAACACTGACGAAGCCTATTGCAGCTTTCTGAGTTCCCTGTAGTGATTCAGGACAGGTAGCAGAGAGGGAAGGAATAAATGTCACAAAAAATGGCTCATTCAAAATCGATTTTGGTTTTGGCTGCAGGCAGTGACATAAATGCACAGTTGCTTACTACTGCTGATTTCTGTTTCCTTCTTTTAACTCTGAAGTTGATGGCTTATAGTCTATAGCAAAAGCAAAGCTAAACAACAAAAATCTGTGCTGAGCATAAAACTTATAGTGGGTAAGTAAAACTTAACTATAAAGAAAATAACTTTAAAATAGAGGAATGTTCTAGTTAGCTTCAAATATAAGAATCAGAAAAGCCCACATTCCAGAAGCTCAAACAAGTAGCTTTATAATCACTAGGGTCTCACATTCCCTTTCTCTTGCCATTTTGCCATTTTTAGCATTTGCTTGCACCTCTTAGTGTGAGACTTTTGCTTCAGCTCCAGCTATCCAACCCATATTCCAACCAACAGAAAGGAGATAAGAGAAAGAAATCTCCCTGTCCTTTAAGTTACACATCCCATCCTTTGACATCTGAGTCATTTAACAGTTTATTCAATATTTGCTGAGCATCTGCTATGTACAAGGACTGTTCTAAGCCATAGACATTTATCTAAGCCCTGTTCATAGTGAACAGAAAGGTCTCTGTGAACAAAAATCCTCCTGTTGGTGGAGCTTATATTCTACTAGGTGTGAGAAGAAGTATGGGGGAAGGGGCCCACTGGCCAGGGTTTTAAGCCACATGGTCATACTTAGCTTCAAGACCAAGCAGGGAAATGTAGCCTTTAGCTGCATTCTGGGAATCCAGTTCCAAGAAAGGAAAGGAAAAGGAAGGAAAGGAAACAGTGGATATTGGGGGCAATTAGCAATCTCTGACAACATGAATAAAGTGTGAAGAAAAATAGGTGAACTGGTGTGTTACGTCACTTAGTAAAAAAACAACTTTGCAATTACACCTCTAGTCTATTCCTAACAGACATTTACTTGTGTGCATGTGTGTCTAGTGCATATCTGGGTTCATTTCTGGGTACCACAGTTGATAGGACATGAGGAGGCATGTAGTGAGTGAACAAGTGGAGGGATACCTGAAAATCTCATCATGCTGGGGATAGCTGATTGGTGAGGGGTATTAGGTCCAGAGAAGGCCAAGAAATAGATACTTCTTTCAACTGTTAAATAAGTGACTGTAGGAAGAGAAATGGACTTGATTCATGCTTCCTCAGATGATTATGCTAGAGTTGGTAGGCAAAATTTGAGAGGAGGAAGATTTTTCTTTTAGTGCAAAGGAACTCCGTAGCAGTAGGAATGCTCTCACCTGTTTCGCATGCTGCAGAGGAAATTCTCATCCCAAGTGAAAGGCAAAGGCATTCTCCAAAACCCCTCTTGTATGTAATTCCATTAAATAAATGTCACATAGATGGTACTTAGGAAATGCCGGGATCTTTTTCGTTTCTTTTCTTGAGGAACTTAATTTGAATGCAGAAACTCTGCCAAAAGTTAAAAAAAAGAAAGAAAAAGAAAATTACTAGTTGGTTTAGGACGCTGCTCTAATACAGACACAATAGAATTTTCTCCAAATTTTTAGGCATCTGTTTTTCATAAAACTCTTAGGTTATTAAATATATGAGCCAAGCAGAGATGTGTTTCATAGCTCATTACAGAGAATTAACTAAAGTGAGTTAAGGTGCATGTCAGGTAGAATAAAGAGTCCTTCCACTGCCTTGAGGAATGTACTATCTTGGATTAAAATGTCTTCAGAGAATTAAATTAGTCCAGGAATATATACCATTCAGTGTGTGCAGACTTTGGGTGACAGGATTAATATTCCCAGTGAATGCTTATTAAGTGCTGATTCTATGGACTAAGTACTTCACCCACATAGTGCTGTCACTTCCTGTGAGGTGGGGAGTATTATTGCCCCCATTCTGTGGATGCAGACACTGAGGCTTATATATATGGAACTCAAATCCAAGTCTGTTTGACATTATAGTCCATGGTCTTAACCACTGAATGCATTCTCTCCCAGTGAAGAACTTGGGATATCAGTATAAGAATTTCAAGTGCGGGAATGGTGGCACCAGTTTTGATTAAACAGTAGAAAGCAGTGTGCAGGTAGGTGCTTCTTCCCTTCTTTGGGGCAGCAGGACAGCAGGATAGGGAGATGGTGGGAGGAAGGGGGCAGGAAGGGAACTAGTTGGAGGAGGCCTTTGAAGTTGACTTCCTTATCTTAAAACAAAATAAGGGACACACTGTCTTCTAGCCAAAAACATGCACTGTATGTATAGTTTTAATAGTGAAAAATGTCAGTCAAAAAGTCCCTTGGCCTGGTGGTTTTTAATGGAAATACAAACATTTTCTGAGCTAGAGAAGGATAGTCTTTCTGCTTAAATAATCATAATCAGCAGTTAAATAATCTAAATGCTTGTGAATCGTAGAGTTTAAATAATTCCAAGCACCATACTTCATGTTATCTCTATCCTCACAGCAGCTGAATGGGGGCTAGGGAAGGTCACCCATTAAAAAAAGGGAAAAGAAATATTCAGGCCTTCCGACCTCCTAAAACATGGCAAGTCAGAGGCCCCTTCTTCTAATCCAAGAGTAACAACATGTTGGAAGAATTCTGAGAAGTACCTGATACAATGCTGTAGGGGGCATTGCCAGATTTAACCCTTTGAGGCAAGGAACAGGGAAGCCATATCACACAAAGAAAGACTAAGAAGCTGAGAGTACAGAGGAATCACACTTCAAATCCTGAAGGAAGAATTATTTATGTAATCTCAGCACTTTGGGAGGCTGAGGCTGGTGGGCTGCATGAGCTCAGGTGTTCAAGACCAGCGTGGGCAATATGGCGAAACCCTGTCTCTACAAGCAATACAAAATTAGCCAGGTGTTGTGTTGCTTACCCGTGGTCCCAGCTACTCAGGAGGCTGAAGTGGGAGGATCTCTTAAGCCTGGGAGGTTGAGGCTGCAATGAAGTGTGATTGTACCACTGCACTCCTGCCTGGGTGACAGAGTAAGATCCTGTCTCAAAAAAAAAAAAAAAAGAAAGAAAGAAAGAAAAAGAATTACTTGGTGAGTAAGCAGAACCCTGAGCACTCTAGTTCATAGCCTGACTCTGCTAGTTGTAGTTGGTTGAGCCCATGCACACCTGACCTGGTCTCTCCATCTGTGAACAGGCCTCTGTACTCACATGATTCCATTAATATTCAGTGATTCTCTGACTCCGTGGTTCTCAACTGAGGGTGATTTTACCTCTCGGGGGAACATTTGGCAAGGTCTGGAGACATTTTTGGTTAGCCCAACTGGAGGGGAGGTACCACTGGCATTCAGTAAGTAGAGGCCAGGATGCTGCTAAACATCCCACGACACACAGGGCGGCCCCAAAAACAAAGAATTTTTGGGCCCAAAATACCAGTGATACTGACGTTGAGAAACCTATAACTAGCCTCACTTTTTAGACTGATGTTTCTTAAATTAGGGAAGAGAGAAGAGCTTTGTAGGATGTCATCTCTGATTTAACTTATTTTCACAGGGAACTCACACAGGACATATTTTCCCATTCAGCATCATGATCAGGCACAGAGGTTGTAGTGGCCTGGGAACTTCCAATTCTGTGTAGATGACCTTGACCTCTTGATTCTGGCTTGCTTTCTTGGCATTAAAGACCAGTTCACTATGTAGCTCCCCAGTAGGATTGACAGTTCTCAAATCCAGATCCTCAGGGGATGGAGGTCCCTATGAGATGTGAACCCTGGCTGCGATCCAAAAGGTCTGTTCCATCCATGCCTGCTTCTTGGTAAACCACACAGTCCTGTCTAACTCTAGAATTCCATCATTTTTAACCTGTGGTTTCTTTCTGGTCCACAGTTTGCCCAACTATAAATCGAGAGTGTGAAACAGTCCTCAAGGGTTAGGCTGGCCCTATAAATTGAGGCACAATTATAGCAGCCCCTTTACTCTCTTTCTGCTTTTGTTTCTCCTTTCTATTTGTTCCTTTCTTCCCGACATCCCTCTGGGTAGCCAAATCTTTTTCTAAGGAAGCACTTTTTACAGTGTTCATTTAGAACAGAAAGGATAGAAGAAAAATGAGAATGCTGGTATGGTAGACAATGTATGCCAGCGCAGGGCCTGAGGGCATCCAAGGGAAACAAACTGCTGCCCGGATGCCAGATGCCTGCCTCAACCAGGAAGGGCACGTATTGGCAAATCCCGATTTGTAGGGTTTCTCTGCTCCCTGTAATATTTTCTTTGTGTTGGTAAAATCCAGTCCAAATATTATCAAGTGAAGTCTCAACCCTAAGGATGAAGAGGGTAAACATCAAGATCTGTGTCCTCATTGGGTGGAGCTATTACAAAAGGATCCAAGTCAGTGAAGACTTAGAGGATTTTGTGGGAGGAGTAGCATGGAGGTGGGCTTTAAATGGTCCCTCCTAAACGTTCAATACATGCTTGCCAAAGGAATGAATGAATGTTGGTGAAAATTATACTTTGCCTCTTGCTGGCTCCCTCTTTTCCCTTTCCCCCTTTCTTACCCGCTCTGTCTTCTCTTCCACCCCATCTCCTGTTTATTCTTTTTCTTCCTCTCTTTCTTCTTCTCTTCACTTTTTGCCATCTTTCTCTCTCTTCTTTGTCTTTCCCCCGCCATTTCCTATCCCTGTTCGGTGCCTTGCAAAGCAGAGGGATTCAAAATGCTTTCTTCATTTTCTTGTCTTGCTAGATTCTAATTTTGACTTTGGGGCAGGAGGCAGACCAAAGAAGACCAAACATATAGGCAGGGGCAAGAGAGAGAGAGAATGCAAGTGTGAGTGAGTTTGGGGGCAGAAAAGGAGGGTATGGCTCTGGCGATTTTGCCTAGGGAATGAGGTGTGTTAATGGGGACCACTCAGTTCCCAGAAGCAAAGCAATCAAGAACTACAGCTCAAAGCCAAGCTGCCAGTCAGTTGGGACGAGTCTTTTGTTTTCCAGTCACGGAATCTGGGAACCAATAGATTGTGAAAATTGAAATGCAGTGTTTGACTTGATCTTTTGGTTAAGCCAATTCCCTGGGATCTCAATTCAAACCTGCAGGAAGCTGAGGCCAACTCTGAGAGACAGTTATGACCTCACCCCTGATGCTTCACTTACTTGATGACATTTGCAGTTATGATAACAGTTCAATTGCTGTCTTTCCAGTCTATTTTGAAATTGGTGTTTGTATGTTCACTTCACTGAGCCCTGAGCTTAGAGCTTCTTTCTCTTCCTGGCTCTGCCTCTGGAAGTTTTCTTGGAAAACGTTCCCTTCAATGTATTTTCAAGGCTCCTGTCAACTAATGCTTTATTATAAGGCAGTGTGGGATTGGGTAGGCCCAGTGGCTACTCTCTGCGTCCTCTCTCCTGGTCATTTTTCTGGAAGCTGACCACTGTGGGTGGCATCACTGGGGTTCCCTTGCTTTCTGACTCTGGGGAGAGTCTGGGGCCAGTAAGAGGCACTTCAGGAGATTGGAGAGGGGGAAAAGAAAAAAATCTAGAGGATTTTCTCCCTTTTCCCTTCTTGCTTTGGGTCCATGTCACTTCTCTCCATGACTATAGCTCCCTCTCAGCTGTGCCCATCATTGGTGCCCAGTGTCACTGGGATTGTGCTGCGTGATAATGGCTGTTTAGTGTTGCTAGTGCCTGGATGCCTCAGTGTCTCACTTCTTTCATTAACCCTGCCCACCCCTACTCCTGTAGCCTCTCCATTAAATTCTCCTCATCGGAACCATCTGTGGCGACCTCTGTTCCTTTCAGGACTCAGATCAGTACAGTGGGGAAGGCCACCGTACTGCAGGTTCCCTTCAGGACTCAGATCAGTACAGTGGGGAAGGCTACCGTACTGCGGTCAGATACATAACATTTGTTAGGATGATTGAACAAATCATTTAACAAATCATTCTAACAAGTGTTAGAATATGTTGTTAGAAAATGTTTACATTTCCCATATTAAGTAATTCTGGGAAAAGAAGCTGATTGCTTGATACTAAAGTCAAAGCACTGAAACAAAAGCACCATTCTGTGGTTTCGTAAAGAGGAATGTTTTTCAAATGACCCTTCAACATGAATGACTGCTATTGCTCCTGCTTTAGAAAGATTGGGGTTCCCAGAGCCAGGCTCAGTTTTGGGTCAAGTGAAAACAGCCTCATCCTCCTTCCATGCACAAAGAAAAGCTTCCCCACGCTTATTCTTCAGCCTAGGGAAAGTGGGTTTGACTGAGTTTCTTGAGATGGAAGCAAAGAGAGTATTCTAGGAGTCCCTGGCCAGAGTCCAAGTCAACCGCCTCCAAGGTATGGGTAGCATTCTTTGAAGCAAGCTCAGAGCATTTTTGGTTTCCATGAAACTGAAGGCAATTGCAGCTTTTGGTAGCAACTGCTCTAATGCCGCACACTAGCCTGAGGTCAGGCAAGCTAAGGGCTCCTTCTCATGGATTCAGTCATTTGTTTAGTCGCTGACTCATTCATAAAACAAATCACACTGGGAAGTCAGTTATTTCTCAAGAGAATGAGCAAATATTATTTGTTGAGTACCTATTTAACAGTCTAATGTCCAGTCAAAGAATGAGACATCAGAATGCAGAATGACAGCTGGGTAAGTGTATGAAAGAGGAGAGGTCCCTGGAGCCCTGCAGGCTTCCTGAAGGCACCCTGAGATATATCCGGAAGCTACATTAGGTGAAGGGGTGGAGATGGTGGGTGGGGTCAGAGGCAGCATGTTCCATAAGAGGGGGTTTGCCTGTGCAAAGGCCCTATGGCAGAAGGACTGACCTGCCTTCTGTTCACTCATTGGAGGCCTGTGTGATTGGAATATAGAGATTAATGGGGAAAACTAGGTTCGTTGAGGCTGGAGAGGTGGGGAGAGGCCAGACCACCCAGGACCTTGGGGCCCTGGTCAGATTATTGATGTTTATCATAAGAAAAGCAAAAACCCATTGAATGGAAATGATATGACTGGGTTGTGTTTTGAAAATCATAACAAATAGCTGCAGTGTAAAGATCTTTATATACATCAACTCATTTAATCTTCACAACAGCCTTCCAAGATAAGTACTGTTATCATCTCTGTTTTTCATTTCAGGCAACTAAGGCTCAGAGAGGTTAAGTAACTAGTCCTAGGTCATATGACAAAGGTGCGATTTGAACCTCTCAGGATTGTCCTGTGGTTTGGCCATGTGTTTGACAATGGCACCACCCCACCTCTGGCTTTCGTGAGGAGAATACATTTGAACGTGGGCATCCTAGAAGGACGACCCTCTTTCCCCTTCTTTCTGTCAGCTCTGCACTGGCTCCCCTCAGGACTTTCGTCATTCCATGTCGGAGAGCTGTGAAGGAATTATTTTGGCAACCGTTGCTCTGGTCTAGGATTTCTCAGCACAGCCCTATTGAGATTGAGCTGGATAATTCTTTCCTGTGGGGGCCTGTCCTATGTTTAATAGCATTCCTGGCCTCTGCTCATTAGATGACAGTATCAATCTCCCTCCCCCAGTTGGGACAATTAGAAATGACTCCAAAGCCAGGTGCAGTGGCTCACATCTGTAATCTCTGTAATTGGGAGGTTGAGGCGGGTGGATCGCCTGAGGTCAGGAGGTCGAGACCAGTCTGGCCAACATAGTGAAGCCCTGTATCTCCTAAAAATACAAAAAATTAGCTGGGTGTGGTGGCAGGCACCTGTGATCCCAGCTATTAGGGAGGCTGAGGCAGGAGAATCACTTGAACCTGGGAGGCAGAGATTGCAGTGAGCCAAGATCATGCCATTGCACTCCAGCCTGGGCAGCAAGAGTGAAACTCAGTCTCAAAAAAAAAAAAAAAAAAAACAAAAAAAGGAAAGAAAAGAAGGAGAGGGGAGGGGACTCCAAACATTACCACCCAAAGTCTTCCAGAGGGCAAAATCACCCGTTTGAGAACAGCTGGTCTAGTCCTAGCCTGTTCTCACCTTGGACCTATGGCCCAGCTCTTTACTGAAGTATGGACCTTGGGCCACTGTATTAGTGGCACTAGAAGAGTGTTAACACT